GTGGCCGGACCGATTGCGCAGACATGGGGAGCAGGCCGCCGCCCCCCGGCGGCCGTTGCTCCAACCTGCGCGGGCCGAGTCGTGTGGCACGTGTTACAAAATGTGGAGTTTGAGGTCTGGGAGGATGGGCCAGGCGGGCCAGGGTCTCGCAGGGTCTTTGAGGTACTAGTACTATTGGGATGCTGTTCGGTTCCCAAGGCGAAGTGGGAGAAGTGGGATCTGTAATGGAGAAGGTTCTTGAGGGTGTGTTCCCCTCTTTGAGGGAGTGGGTGACATTTTTGCCGTTTAGGAACGAGGTGTGGTCATGTGGTCTTCCTTCTTGAATTGTTTGTCTCACCATCTGGCCCCTGCAACACCTGCACTATCCCAGTCTGCCACCTGCATCCCAAGTGTCTGCACAGTGGCGATCGCACTGCGGGGCGCTGGAGACCACTCCTCATCCGTTGGGCCGCTGGGCACTCGGCACGGCTGACAACTCACCCAACCAAATCCAAAGGCAACGCCAGGCGTGGGCGTCTGAAAGTGTATGGTTATGCACAAATAAGCTCGAATGCACAAATGTCCTGACGAATAGATTTGGAACATCTTTGGAACAAACCTTGTTGTTGAGCAACATAGACCCCAATCAGACCTTAAAGTTTTCGTTGCAGGCCAAAGTTTCTTGTTCGCTGCAGATCTCTGCAGTCTCCAGCTACCCTCTGTCACGGTACAAACCGAACATCTCAGCTTTCAAGCCAGAGCTCTTTCAACAAACAACAATTAGCCATGGATAGCCTGTAGCCCTTCGCACAGGCAAGCCCCCACTGTCCTGGTCCTAACCAGGGCACCTGGCGTGTCTCGCAGTCGAGGAAACTGCACGTGTTGGAGGAAATCCTCCCCTGGTCGTAAAGATTTCTTCACATACACTGTACCATGGTCCTTTAAGGCTTTGGGGATGAACTCATCCACTGTATCATGCTTTGGAAGAATGAAGTACATTCTTGCACTGGAAGATTGAACATAGGCATGCTAACCCAAAGTGCAATGGTCCACTTGTTCTAGCACACCAAACTTCTCCACGATTCCAAGGAGTGCGCTCAATAGCGGCAAGCTTGGGGCCAAGTGCAAGTATCTAAACACAATGATATGGGTTGGTCTCGGAAGACTAGTGACTAGGATCCACATAAAATGCAGAACTCGTTTGGTAGAAGGAACAGTTAGATGAAAAACATTGAAAAACCAGTGTGCCAGTGGTTTCTGATTCTGAGACACGCTACAACACACCCATACGGCCCATACAAGTAGTTGCTGGTGCTCATCAATCCCAAGCTTCAACTTATCAACTTATCACCCACAGGCCACAGGTGACTTTGGTCGCAAAACAGGGAACCAGCCTCTGAAATCAACCCCAAATCCTCCTGACTCCTCACCACACCGGTGTTTGGCACCCTTCCCTATGACCCCACCCATCATTGGATCCTCAAACCCTTCAGAGATTATCGCTTGGAGGAAAAGCACTGGTGCCTTGGAGCCAGAAGTGCCCCTCCGCCGCCAGATGGTTAGAAACCAATCAGAATCCCAATCAACCATAGTTCAACAGTTCAACCATACTGAGAGGGTGGAGGCCTCAATTGCCCTAACCCGCTCACCTGGATCGTCTTCAGCGCCGCCAAAAGCTCGCCGTCGGCTGCCGGACGCTGCCAATCCGCCGCCAAGACCCCATAGTCTGGCGAGGAAGGCGGTCATGCATCATGGGAAGGAATTGACCGAAGGTCCGATTTTGGGAGGGCCACCCTTGTTCTGAAGCGAAATGACCATCTTCACTGCACAGCTCAAAAACACCACGTGGCTAAATGGCCTCCAGGAGGCACAATGACTGTACATCATATATTTGTTCGATAGTATCTACTTCCCCATCGTTTTTGCTTGGAAAGTAAAAACAAATAAAGAAGATTTGCAAGACCTTAAGCATCATCAGCATGTCTAGTCGCACTTAGATCAAGTCTCGTCACCAGGCAGCCCGGCTGGTTGGGCCATGGAAGGGATGCAAGTCATCATGGCTCCACGTGCCGTCCGCATGCCACACGGCCCAATCAAAGTCTCCCTGATCCGCGCTGAATCCGCGACAGCGACAGCGGACCAGGCGCTCCAAGGGGTTGGAAGAGTGATCTTTCGCTTTAATAGAGCTAGGTATCAATTCTCGTGTTGGGGAAGAACAAATCACAGAATATAACCTATGCTGAGAAAATTCAGCAGCACAGTGTATCTAATGGGTATACCCAAATGACTACCCAAATGACTACCCTCTTGCTCACTTTCGGCATGGCGGGCCTGCTCAAGATATCTCAAGAAGTCGGGCCACCAGTTCGCACAGGAGTCCTTCCAAAAAAACACAGGAGTCGCACAAGGTTATATAAATATATCTTGGATCTATCCTATTACCTGGTTGCCAGTGGATGATGATGCTTAGTAAAGGCCTTGTTCAAAAATAGTAATAATTGTTTACTGACCGTTACAGGTAATAGGACAGACCCTAAGTATATTATATAGTGTGTATATATATATATGAGTTGTATTGGCCAAAGTCAAAAAGCACAACCAAGAGCCAGGCAGGAAGAACACCATTGTTAATCATAACAAGAATGGAACGAGACACTCGAGAGGATAGGCTAAAAAAGCGCTGTCTCTTTGCAATATTTATCAATATTTCAACCGTTAAACTCAGTGATTCCCGGAAGTCACCTACAGCCCCTGTCCTGAGTTTGACAAGTTTAACATATATCATAATTATATATTATATATATATATACTCTTCCACATGCGTGAGAAATCGCCAGAAAGACCGCCCTGGACCGTCCTTATGGCAATCGCTGAAGGTGCCAAACTCACTGACCCAGACTGGCGCAGTGAAGGGCCTCTCGTCCTCCACAATGAAGCCCCAGTCTTTGCCCAGCTGAGCATGAAGCGCCTAGTATTGCGCGCTGGTACCCATCGTTTGATTGGTTCACATCTCACAAGCATGGAATACTGTAAATCAACATGAGAAAAGTTTGGAATGCCCGGAAAATTATGGTTGCGGCATGTTGCAGGAAAACGCCCATCAGTGGTCTAAAATATTCTCGTGATACCTGATCCATCCAAAAAAACATTAAAAAACACGCGTCTTGCATCGCGTCTGACGCGTCCGCGTCTCCTTCCTTCGCACCTGGCCTCATAAGTGTCGGGCAAGCCTGGATAAGACCACGAATAAGAGTGAGCACTGTAAACCTGGCGGGCTCCAATTTGGGTGGAGGCCATTGCTATTAGGGTGGAGGCCATCGCTATTAGTAACAAGAAGGTACTGGTAGCAAGGACGCTCCAATTCGGGGCACGGAAGGGCACAGGGCCAGGGCGGCACTGTGTTTCCACGGTGCACACTACCTACCACACCAGACTTCACGAGTGAAAGAAAGTGACTGGTGAACGCACAGGCCGGGCCTACCCAGTACAACTGCCATCCCCTCTGAGCTCCTCACCAACTTCTCAGGTGTTTTGAGATGAACGGGCAACCTGACCAGGTCGAGGAATTCAAAAGAGCTATTTGCTCGAAACGAATCAGGACGAAACGAACCGAACAAGCAAAAAGCTTAGCAAAGTGGCAGCTTTTGGAACATATAAACCTTTTTTGGTGCTTCAGAGTGCATCTACAGCTCCATGTTTGTTCAAACTTAATTAATCAAGGAAAAAGCGCACTGTACTGTAGCATGACAATCAGAGGTCCAAGCCTGTCAGAAAACAGCTGTCAATAGCTGTCATGTGTATTCCAATCTCTTCCCCTGCCTGAACACACCAGTCAAGTCTTTGCCGTAGCCAAGGCCACCCTTAGCTTGTGGGACAAGAGGATGATCCTCAGGAACATGCTAAGCCTTGCCAAACTTTTGTTACACAGGTCGCTGATTTGTTTCTTTCAATGAGGTCTTCCACTTTCCTCAGTTGCTCTGCCATTCATATATATATATATATACAATTAGAGATCGAACACACCAATCGTCCACAAAGAGGAAGTTTGCCTATTGGCCACAACAGCACATTCCTTGGATGACCCTGTCTTACCAGTATGACCAGCCACGTTCTACCGCAAGCATAAGGGTCACACAAAGGTCTCCATGGAATGGAAACTGCTTTTCTGTCAAGATATTCTGTGTCCTTCAAATACTACTTGAACCAACTTGAACCAACTCCCGATAAGTCAAAAGAAAACCCTGAACCCAGTGACCCCAGCGACTGGGTCGCCTGGAGAAACCCCTCCATTCCCGTTCAGGTCCGTTGAGGTTCCGCTCCACAATAATCAGCAAATGGGGGTTCACCGTGAGCACGGCATTACCCGCCTGGGTTGCGGCGGCATGCCAATCCTGAGCACGGGACAGCAAGTGGGGCAGAGTGGACCTCGCCGAGGACCCCTGGTTTGGGGGACCTCAAGAAGAAGAAGGAGGAGGACCCCATTGCCACATGCAGCAGTTCATCCTTCCTCCACTCAAATGAACAAAATTGTTCCATCAATTGTTCATCCTTCCTCCCTTTGCTCATATTTCTTCATCACCAGCTGAGCTCCCGAGCATTGGGCCCACCACCGCCCCATTGCGGCGTGCCCTGTGTCGAGGCGCGCACCTCACCGGTCGGTCACCCAGTTGGACCGGACGAACCGCGCCGTGCTCGCCTCATTTCGCAGCTCGGTGCCCACGACCCACGGCTGCCTCCGGTGGAGCCGACCGCAGACGCGACGGCGGTCGGAGAGACCGCGGTGGATCGAGAGAAACGGTGCGCCGTCTTTGCCGTTTCTCTCGAGCTGGGCTTTTACAAGTTAAATCGAAATGGCGCTTATCCTTGCCTCTGCGATGCTTGGTGGCTAGTGTTAGTTAAGTCGCGCTGATTTGACACATCTCTTTGGTCAAATGCTTCAGATGGTTCTAGAGTCTCCACAATGAAAAAGAGAGGTACAACAGGATCGCAGCAACAGGAGTCTCTGCACCTGGCGTAGCGGGAGGCCAGCTTCAGGTGTGCCTGTGCGAACAAAACGCGCGTCGCGGGCGGTGCGACGACAATGCGTGAGGACTTGCGTGAGGTGCAGCAGTCCAACCAGCTGCGTTGGCTTGGGATTATGCAGGCATGGCTGTGGGTCAAAACCTGGATACCGGAAGGTCAAGCTACATGGTGGACCAGGGCTTCAGGTTCTGATCCGTCCCCATCTTATGGACTAACCCAGGAACCATCACGTTCGTCATCTGACCTCCTCTGCAGTAACCAGGAAACTTGGAATCTTTGAGGTTGATCCCTTTTTGGGAGAAAACAACTCCGGTTCACAAGGAGCGAGGCATAGATTCTGATCCCTCAGCATCCATCAATCCAGCTCGGCCTGCAACCAATCACTGGTCGGCCAGCGACTATTGTGCCAAAGGCCGTTCTCATCCACATCTGAACAGCACCAAGTTCCTGGAAGCCAAAAGTCAACCCTCTGAAAGCAAAGTTCATTTCATGATTGCCACATATTGCCACACAAACTATCACTTTGGACACGGAACTTTTGCCTCGATGTATAACTCCAACGACATTGTCAAGGACTTCAGAACTCTCCAGGCTTCAGTTTTGATGCGTCTCTGACGGACCTGAACATCTCGGACCACTTCTCCAACTTCCAAAACGAACGCTAAGACTCACGCCATCTGACACGTGGTTGTCCAGGATCACTAAGAGCTGAGCAGAGGCCTCAGCTGCTACACTGCTATTTGTAGGCCCCAAGGAGCTTTGAGGACAAAGACCATCCCAACTGGATGAATTCTGTGGCAGGTGATCTCCGGAAACACAATATCGTATACATGCGTGCTTCCAACACATCTGGCCTATGTCGGCTTTCCCGTCTTGCCGTGGATGTGCAGCCTTTGGCAACTCAAGAATTCACTTGGTTTCACCATGTTTCACCCACTTTGTACTTTGTATGAGTATACGCCTCCCTGCACCTCCAAGGCATCCCCGGGATGTCCGAGTTCCCGGCGCATGCATCAATAACCTCAGCCGAGCTGACCCAAAGATTCCCTTCTCCCACCGTCGCATAAGCAGTCGTGAACCACTGATTTGCAGCGGTTCCATTTTGTAAATGATGTGTTCTGGAGCATCTTCTCATCCCATGACATGAAGCATCTTCTGAGGACAAGCACGCCACAACCACCAGCCCCCCTTCACCACATTCCCCACTCCTCCACCTTGAACACTCTTCCACTCCACCTGCTCCAAGATCTCACGAAACCCGATCTCCGCCTCCGCCGAGGAGCAGCGTCCAGGATCTCCAGCGCCGTCGCACCTCGGAGCTGTGGGTTGGCCTTCAGCAGCGTGTCCTGGCTCCATCGGGCACCATCTGTCCAGCGCGGGTCCGTTCTTTTTCACCGAATAAAAGAGCCCCAGATGGGATGATTCGATGCCACTCTTTTGGGGCAGGGTGTTTGTTGGGTTTCGCGGTCATCCACCTTCCAGTGTGATTGAAACCCCCATCATCAATAAGGGAGCCTGCAAAAAGTCTCTTCATTTTCGGCAAGTGGCAAATGATTTGAACATGGAAACTGCAACTTTTAAGCACATCATAATCCAAAACAAATGTTGCTTTGAGTACCATTGAATCCGGTCCCCCCACACACACACTGCATTCCCGTACGACCTGCAGCTCCATGGGCAGCGTGGGGTCACGTTGGACCTGAGGAAACGTATGGCGTGGGAATTGGAGGCCCTGAACATCTCCAATTTGGCCTCAAAAAGATGGATCCTGGGTCTATCCTGCCAGGGCCCAGTGGATGATGATGGTTCGGTTGGACGCCTGGCTTCAAAGGAGTAATTTGTTGGTTTACTGACTGTTGCAAGTAATAGGACAGACTCAAGCTGGATGTTTTAGGATGGCTGGATCCTTTTAGGGTTGATGACTGACTCACTAGAAAAAAACGGGTGGTTTCCTCGCCTCATGCCCGATGTCATTATAATATAACTCCCTGTTGGGTGGGAATATTACAGAGCCTGTGTTGGGGCCCAAGGCAAGCTCTTTTGAATGCATGACTCGGCATGACCACACGTGCAACCACACCAAACCAACAGGCTGTTGCCAAAAGGTATACCTTTAAAATGACCGACTGAAAGCAGTTGGCTTCCTCCCACGTGCAACCACACCAACCGACCAGCGTCCTCGGCCCCGTCCGCCCCGGCGTCACGGTCCAAAGTCACCCTGATCGAACCCCGAAAACTAGGACATCTGACCGGCACATTGATGTTGATTTGTGTTGATTCCTTTCAAAACAGAAAACGAGGTGGATAAGGATAAGGTGAAGCAAAACAGTCCAAACCTTTGGACCTGGCCCACTACCCGGCCCCTTCCTTATCGCTCCGGGAGCATGTTTCTGAGGGCTGGCGCCATCCACACGGACCATGGAAAGCGAACGCAATTGAAACCCATCTCGCGGAAGGTCTTGGCAATGCCTTGGCAGTGAATGCATCCTTGAATCCTCCTTCCCAAAGCCGGAAAAGTGAAGACTCTTGAGAAAGGAACCATGAATGAAAATGGTGATAAGAATACTAGACTCTTAGCCCCAAAAGATCAAAACTATCTCAGCAATGGGTGTGTTTTCTGTACGTGAATTGTTCCTCGTTGCTGTTTCTCCGGTTGAGCCGGTTGAGCCATTCAGCTTACAGTACTTTGTTTGTAGATTCTTCAACCCAAGACCTTTCCAGCCTCCGCGTTTCTCGTTCGTATTCCAGCCAGGTCTGCTTACTTCTCCAATGAATCGACAAAAAACCCTGCGAAGTCCCTCTGGGCACATCACGAGAAACCGAAATGAAATCCCAACGAATCGACGACAACGACGCATCCAAGTAGACTGCAAGCTGTCACCTGTATGCTGCGCATGAAGTCACGAATGCTTTATCTGGTGCAAGCCAAATAAGCTAAAGTAACACGTGTACAATATAATGGGTTGCAATCCCCACCCGATGTTCCATATGGTTCCGGACTGTAAGCACTTCGCAAATGCAAGCCCCCCACCACACCATCCTGCGGGTTGCGAGCTGCGCTTGGCGCATGGAAGGAAGGCTCTGCATTTCTGAACAAAATGCCCTGTGAAGAAGGAAACATATAATATAGATTTGGGTAACATGAAAAAGTATCCTTGGCTGAAAGTTGGGATCCCCAAGATTCAAGCCCCGTGGAAGTCACTGTTCTTAGAATGAATCAGGAAGTTCAGCAAAATCACTTTGGATGAGGAGCAAGGATCACCTCACCCTTCCTGACCCGGTCAGTTCAACTGGTCTTCTCTCTGTTGACATCACGCACCTTCACCTCGGCGCCAGCCCAGTTGACACACGCGAGCTTCACGCGGAGACCCTGCTGGTCCACAATCCAGCGTCCAGAGGTCCTGCGCCCAGGAAGACGTGGGACGACGTGGCGAAGACGTGGATGGAGAAAGCGGACCCCAATGGGAATTCATCGCGGAACCGGCAAACAAACGACTGGATGGAGGTTCATGGTTTTATCCAGCATTGCTTGAGTTCAACTGTTACACCTTACTGTATCTACTATGGCTTCACATTGAACAAGAAGATCATTTTCAGTGGACGTCCTTCATCTACAATGAATCCATACGCGTTTTCATACGCTTTGGATCCTCCAAACACCGCTTCAAACCCAACCGCTCGTCCTCAGCGGCAAGCTCGGTGGCTCCTTGGAACGGCACCAGACCGGTTGGGGGGATAGTGTCCACGCGCTTCTTGGCTGCCCCACTATGCTGGCGGCTGGTGCCCAAAGCCATAGCAGAGCCAAGCTCAGGGCCAAAGTAGCCATAGCTATAAAGTGAGTTTCTAGTGGAGGCTTCCGGTAAGTTCTGGTGGGTCGTCCTCGAGCGGTCTGTCTGGAGGAGAAGCCCGTTGAGCGTCAATATGGGCTAAAAAGCCTTGGCTCTGCAGGAGTCTCACCGGTCATTGCTTTGCAAAGCAGGAATCTGTTGGACAAATGGCATTTCATTCCGTCGTAACTGAACTGAGTAATCTCTTAAGACTCTTGAGGCACATGTGCAAGGTGGGATGTCTGTGAAATGTGGTCAGCCGAAGGCCTTTCCTGGGCCAACCCAAGAGTCAGCTTTGGTCTGTTGTTGCTCTTCCCAGGAGCTCCCTGTTCCAATACCACCACCACCACCACCTGCCATAGCTGTAGAGACTATCACTCTCTGTCTTTGTGATGCTGTGAGCATTTTCAGAACGGGGTTAGGCAGTGTCCATGAATTCTAATCCAGCACAGAGTCGAAAGTCATGTGAGTCAACAAGTCCGTGGGATCAAAATAACTGGCATCCTGCCCCCAATGAATTGGTCTATCTCTTTTTCAAACAGCTCGGGTATGCGTCTAAATTTCTAGGATCTTCTAGGTCAAAACCTTGGCTTTCTAGCTCCTCTGTTGCAAGTATGGAAGCCAACAGTCACCCATATAATAAACTATATATATATATTATATACAATATAACTAATGCCGCAAGCAAGCTGGTCCAATTCCTCTCTGATTTTGGTTCTCTCGCAGCTCTGCAAGTCAAGCAAGCGCCACCTGCCAATCAGTAAAAGAAATGATCAAGATTCAAGGTGTTGACGGTTCATGTCTGTCAGCATTGCGGTTGAAAGTTCAACGTTTTCAATGGCCGTATGTAGCCTCTGAATGATTGAAGTAACAAGCAGTTCGTTCGATTCGATTCCCTTCGAATTGTGTGGAGAAATGTCCGCTGAGATGCAACTGAACCGGCTCAGCATGCAGGTCAGTGGAATCACTTGCACAAGTAGAAAGATTGGTAGATTCGGACCTACACCTTCCAACATTGATATGAAACTGCCACGAAACCAATCAAATCCAGAATGGAGCTTCCCTTTCAGTACTGCAGTGTTCACTGTGAGCAATACTTCCTTCTTTATCTCCTCAAAGCTTTGGGTTGAAGCACCATGCTCACATTGACGTTCTTCAGCAGCTCTTCAGCTGCTGACGCACTGGACACACCCAGCCTTCACTGCTTTGACTTCCTGTGTCGGACCACCACGGCTTCCAGTCCCGCCACCTCAGTGAGTGAAGACTGGAGAAATAAGAAAAGGGATTCGGAAAATAGACTTGAAAGGTGGATACCCTTGGAACATCTATGAAAACGGATTTCTCTCTCATCGTAGATCGATTTCGACTGGCAGCCCGCTCAGGTTTGGTTCCAACCGACACGCGGGTCACAGAGTCCGACCCTTCGGAAAACCCTTCGGAGATCGGATTGCCCAACGGGAGTGCCCATGGAGTGCTGTCATGTCCGACCTTTCCCAGGATAGCCTACTGCAGGGTTACTTGCAGGGCTCTATAGCCTACATGTTGTGACCAGCTGCCATCGTCGCCCCAGACCGTACGCGTACGGCGTCCCGCTCTTCGCCGGTCGGCAGTAGGGCGCGAAGATCTCGCCGTAGCGGCGCTCATCGGCGGGCGAGACTGAGGCCTGGCACCGAGACCGGCAGTTCGGGTGGAGATGGGATGGCGGATGTGAAGTTAATAAGCTACTAGGAACAAGTGCATCGCTTCTAGTAACAAGTGCCTTACTAGTAGTAACAATGTTTGCTATTAGAAACAAGTGTCAAAGACTCAGAGATACTCAGAGTCTTCTAGAGATCGGGTCAACATCGGGCGGATTTGGAGTTCAGGTGCAATGAACGGTCTGGAGTCTGGCCAAAATGAGCTTGGGGAATACAAACAATGGCCAAAATCCTGGGAAGATGACTCTTTTTAGGGGATCAAGCTATGATTGTATTTCCTGGCTCTATTCCTTTCCATTCTGATCATGTCCTGTTGGAAAGAGCTTCACAGTCACTTTAAGTCTATAGGTTGCTGTGGTTTTTCCTTCGTGGTTTATGACGGCCCAAGGAAAACGCAGCAACTCTCCTCCCCTCTGCACCCAACGTTCGTCCTCTTCAAACACCCTTATATACATCATGCCAGTTTTGTGGGATCTCTTTGATTTCATTTCTGTCGGCTGTTGCCCAGCATGTGGGGAGTTGGTAGGTTGTCACAACCCACGCAGTGGCCATGACGGTTTTCACATTGACGGGGGGGACCCTGAAGAATGTGACCTCCAAAGGACATGATGAAAACTGTCAAAACCGACGGTTCCCAAAATGACAGGTGCTGGTGGAGTTGGATTAATAATTAGTCATTATGTATAGAAATCCAATGTCAAGGTAAGGCTAGGAGCTGGTGTCCCCCATTCATGCCCAGGTATATATAGTCCTTCGCAAATCCTGACCATCCTTCAGATGGACTTTGGTGCATACCCTCGAACTGACGACCTGGCAAGTACGTCCAAACAATCAAGGTATGGAATATTTACCTACATTGACCCTTCAAACAGCTTAAACCCCTAAAGCCACTGGAAAATAGAGTTCAACATATATAGTTCAACAGTTAACCTTCTTTCACCTGTTCGTTTTAATGGATGTGCCCAATCCCACCCATGTGCCGGTGACCGATCCACGGTGCAGCCTGGCAGCCCTTCCGACCGCGGTCCGCACCGCGGTCACCGGTGCCTTGGAGGTGCTTAAGGCCTCGTACAGGTGACCTGGGACGTCACAGTCGGTCCGCCCCTGGACACAGGAGATCCAGCATGCACTCCACGCGGTGCCGACATGACCAGCAGTCACGGCTGGTGTCATGCCTGGTCAGTGGTTTGGATTTACTATGAGAAGAAGTGGTGAGGTCAAGGTAGCCAGACATTGAAGGTCCAAGTCGTCCAAGTGATGCAGCATCTATGAACCCCGGTTGAGCCCTCGTGCGGTGGGCTTTCCTGCTGTTTTTGTCAAAACTGGTCGTGCATCGTCCATCCCAATCAAGTAGAAGTCCCCAAAAAGCACGCCTGAAACAAGGCTCGCACAACTACCACAGCCACGTGTGCAGTATGTAAGAACCGCTAAGTGGCATCACCACAACTCTCAATTGGCGACTCACTCTCGATGATATAGGAGGTTTTGTGGGATGTTCGTCCTTTTTGAGTCCTCCTCTTCCCATGGGACCCTCACCTCCCTGTGATTTTTCAGCAACAACAAAATGCTCCGGAATGGTGGATGTGCAAACCAAACTGCTCGCGGTGTCCACAGGGTGTCCACTTTCCTCTGCTCGCGGTGTCCGAACCCCGCGGCGGAACTGGAGTCTGCAGAGGATGTTTAGAGACATCGAGTCCCAGTCAGTTTTACCGACCCTCGCAAAATGGAGATATTGGGACTGCTACTGCTACTTCTTGAAATGGAATCTGAGAGGAAGCAGAATAACCCCCAATTCTTTAAGCCTTTGCACGCCCCTTCACTCCTTCTTGGACCGTGGGTGTTTTGCGGCTGGACCGACAGCGCACGCGCGGCAAATCCGTCGCGTGCCGAAGGCCGTGCTTCAGAGTCCCCAGCTCAACATCATCTTTGGCTGAGCAATTGAATCCTTTTGCCTCAGGAAACAAAGCAACCCATCCCGCGGCCGAAAGTAGTCTCCTTGCTCCCTAGCTTTTTACATCAACGATCTCTTCTGTAATGATTTTCCTCAAGAACCGGCTGCAATTCGCCCGGAATCCTGCAGGCCCAGTCGTGTCTTGACGAATCAATGCCACTGAGTGGGGTAGAGGGATCGAATTCTAGTCTTCATTGCTGATTGGGAATGACAAGAGTATATAGAGACAATGCACCTGTCACTGTAATAGCATAAAGAAAAAATCAAACCCGAGCCTGCTCAATTCTGTTCTAATCCACAGCTGAGCCTTCCATAATCTTCCATTCATGTTTCTGATGTACATGGAAACTACCAGGATTTTACCCAAAGTGTCTGAATATCCATGAACCACTAATCGTCACTACTTGTCAATCACGTGGTCGAATTGGATTGAATTGGTATAGGCCGGTATAGGCATGCAAGGGTCCTCACCCGGTCTGCACTAGATGTAGTGGACCAAACAAAAGATCCTAACGAACCATGTAATAGCACATACATTGTATATAATATACAAGGGTTGGGTACAGTCAGAAAGAATCCCCTTCAAGAAGTCACCGGACAAAAACTGAGCCATCCCATGCATGTCGTCTGCATCTCCCTTCTGAGCCAGCCGGACCCCAATGCTTGGTTCACCGCTTCAATCTTCGCGGAGGAGAAGAGCGCGTTCACGTCTGCACAGGTGAAGAGCTTCGGGAGACAGGCCACCAACTCGCGCAGCAAAGCCTGGGCGCAGCAAAGCCCGGCAAAGCAGATGGCAGTCGTTCAAGGCGCAGCGGACGTTGGAAGATCCGAACGTGATGGACCGAAATCTGGTCCAACCACGTTAGTTTGGCTACAGAGAGGGAGACTGTAGATGAAGAGAGCTGATCTAAGAGCGCACGTGTCTATTAAATTGTGATGGTCATCTATCAACAAGGAAGCCTTTGTGGGAGGACGAATGTTCAAAAAGGCGACCGGCAACAAGCTAGAGATCTTCACGTGGTCACATCCCAAACCCCTGGCTGGATTGGTTTACACTTTTGGGCTCTCTGCCAACCCGGAGTTGGTTGTGGAGGTGGATTGAGGCATGCCTACATCACATCGAATGAACCGGCCACGGTTGGATTGGCCAGCTATCAGCAACCAGCTAAGGCAGCTGAGGTGCTGCTGAATCGTGGCTATGCAAGTGCGGTGTGCATCGAAATCATGTTTTTTGTGTCATTCTTCTCTAAAAATCAAAAGGCCCGTTGGCATGGTGCGCAATAATTACCCCTTGGCTCCTTTTGCATCCACAATCTGTTGCGCCTTGGATAGAGGTTGCAGTTACACCATCGCATCTTTTACAAGCGACAGCAGGTGCTGACTGCAAAACGACAAATTAGATGTACCTGGACCAGCCAGCTACAGTAAAGGCAAGCCTGGACCCAGATTGTGGAAGCCAAAATCTGTTGCAAACGGAAGATTGCATCATCTTTGATTTTAAAGCTTAGCACTCAATAGTATCTTGAGTGTGTGAGCTATACAGGCATGACAATAGGCCAAGCGATCAGACTCTTGAATTGAGTGATATATGCAATCTTCCAAGAGTCAAGGAAATGGCTCGAAGGCACTGTGAGTGTCTTCCACCTTGACCAACAAAACTATCTTTAATTGTCTTCGAATGAGCAAATCAATACGAAACACGGCAGCATGAAGCTACCAGTGCAAAGCAGCATGAGAAACGCGCACAGCGGTCCCTGCCTAGTAGCTGGTGAGTCTCAAATGCAGAGATTCATGCTTGATGGCCGCTATACAGATACAGTGATTGATTGTAATTCAGTGCCCAAAAAATGTCTCCCGGTTGATTCAATATGCGCCGGGTGGTGTTGTAGTACTCACCAACTATGCTTGGCCATATTTGGCTATCAATCCAGCTAGTGGGGGCCAACGACCTTCAACGAAGCCTGCAGGCTCGAGTGTTTCATTCGAGCGCCTGTCAGTCCGCTTGCTTGCCGTGGACATTCTTGCATTTGCCTCCCATGTATGCACCAGTACAGCCCCGCTTTGCCCCCTATCTCTACCTTATTCCAAGAAAACCTGAGCGGCTCTTCAGCTAAGAATGTACAGTAACTCTTATTCTGTTTGCGCTTACCAACTTGTGAGTATCAGTTTTTGGTCTCAAGCATGTTTGACACACCAAATCTCCCTGGAAATGTCCTCGCCAGCCGTAGAAGGGTGTCTGTCATGTTCCTTTCTTATCCTTTCTTTAGATATATCCATTCATATATGCTCGCATTCCGTCCAGTGATGGGAGTCACACAACCACCTGTGCAGGGTGAAACTCCTGGGTTGTCTTTCCTTAGACTTTCTTGTAGCAAACCCCTAGACATTTGCCATCAAAAACATGAGTGCTCAAAGCACTGAGCAAAACAAGCGTCGTCGCAAGTATGGTGCAGGTGGTTTCTACTGTAGTCCTTTTTGGTTCAATAGATAGGTTTGATGGACATATTCTTGCACCACCTCGGCTTTGCAAAGAACATATCGCCACATGTCCGGACACTTTTTGGGCAATTATATGTGCTGCAACATGCTGTCCATGGACACTGCGTCCATGTGAAAACCTACAAGTAGGGTCTAGTGCAATGAACATCAAGCCACCCATTCATTCAACACAAGTATTGCTTGTGGGTTAAGCATACTGTTATGCATCCTGAATTCACTTCAATTGGATCATATTGGCTCTCTTTATACTGAAACAAACCACAAATACACCTTAAAATGTTCAACATCGAATTGTCTCCAGGAAATAAGAGCCTGTTCTTCTCCCGGCCTTTGTCTCCCTTGCCACGTTGGTCTTTTCCAGCACGGCCTTTTCCACGACGGCCTTTTCCACGACGACCTTTGCCACGACCCAAGCAGATTTGCTTCCTCGGCGACCATCGGGACAGCAAATGCGACTCAACCCACTCGTTGTTTCTGGGGTTGGTCAGGAAAAAAAGACCGCCTCTTGCGACTTGCTGGCTGAACACATGGAGCTTGGACCATCTGAGAGGCAGTTACAACATGTTACAACTAAGGAATTGTGCTTTGCTATGTTGTTTGATCCGCTATTTCAAGAAGGACCCTTCCCCAAGCCAAAGGCTTAAGGTGTTGGTGCTTTGTGTTCATGACATCTTGTGAAGGTTTGCACGAGGAACCACCAGCAACAAAACCCCCAAAATTCCGAAGACTCACGTGCCTCGCTGAATTCCAGCAAAGCTTGAATTTATATATAAACTGATTTCTATTTGCAATTGACGCCAAATGCTTGGAAAAGTGTGGGAGACTGGAGACCCATTTAAAGCTTGGGGAGCTTCTATTCAGATCTATTCGTCAGAATCAAACTCCCTTCTGTCGAAAGAAACGGTTCCTTCTGGCTTTTTAATGGACCGAATCAACCGTTCCCAGCTGAACCGACCGTTCCCCCGAACGCTCCGGCTACGCTCCGCGAACCGGCTCCGAACTTCGCGAACTCCCAGATTCCAAGCTCCGAACTCGCGGTTCCAGTTGCGCCGCGAGAGCCGAATGTCTGGTGCTGGGGGCAGTGCACCTCGGTTCTCCTGTTCGAGACCGTCTCGGTCCGGAGAAACACCGGCCAGTCCACGCACGGAAGCTATAAACAACCCTCCAAAATCCTGTGGCACTCAGAAAAATGCTTTGTTTCGGGTTTGAAGGGGCGCTGGTGACGCTGTACAGTGGGCCGCAAGGGGCAGCCATCTGCCACATCCATTGCATGCCGTGGGAAATGTAAAGATTGGATCCAACTAAGCATAACAACCCAATAACCACTGCTCCGTTTCGATCCGTTTCTATGCATCACAGAGAAAAAAGGCTGGTGGCAGACACATGCCACCTAGGGAAGTGCTGAAAGTGTTTCACAAAACCAACACAATATCTAATTGTATACAACATATACATATATATATATACACATGCATATGTATATATAGATATATGCACATAGCTGTCACTGTCTGTCCTACCAGTACATTCTCCACTGCCTCTCCTGTCGCGCTTTCTCCCTGACATTTTCAATCTCTGCTCGCCGACTCGCGTGCTTTGCGCGTGTGTCTGCAAGCATGTTTCGCCGATCTGGTCGGAAGGGAGCGACAGAGCTGCAAGATCTATGCACCGAACAAACCATTTCAACGCAACATGTTCATATGAGAGAAATCTGAAATGATGTGATCAGAGACGCTTAGACTAGACCAAGAAACCCATAGAAGGCGCTCCTCGTTTCAATGGGATTAGGACTGTAGCTTGCAACTAGAACGTGGTGTGGTTCATGTGCATATGCATCTGTCCCATTCCAGAACACCGACTCAGCACACGGGCCGTGTGGGATCAGCAGAAATCTCTTTGAACTGTACCATACCCAACGTATCATTTAATCCAATACTTTTAAAAGAATCTGGCTCCACATGCAGGCGTCCGCAGGCACGCTGCCTGCATTTCCTTCGGAGCCCGTTCGAGTGGGTTCCTTAACCATGCGCAAAAATCACACGAATCACAGGGTCAGGGGCCACCAGGCACCAGGGCTGTTTTTAACGCTTCATGCAGCCAGAAAATGGTCTAGCCAATAGCCTTGAGGCACTGGGGCTACAAGAAAGAAAAGAGAATTCTAAGCGAATCAAAACTTCTACATGTATACTGGTCATCGAACGGAAGATCGTCTAGACCGAAGCTGCAAGGCGGTGTAGAGTCCGAGTCAGGAGTGGGAAGGCTGGCCCGCAAGACAAAGACCAGTGTCATTCTGACCCAGAAACGAGGGTGTGGGTATGAACTTTAGTAGACCAAGGTCCTGGAGGTAAAATACACAAGGTCTTCCTTAAATGTGATGGCGATGGTGGTCCTTTTAACTCATTAGTTGGGGGCTTTCCATGACTTGTGGTACCCAAGTCTCTTGGCTTTGGCCTGGCCTCAGGTTTTTGCAAATCCCAACACAAACCTCTTCATTGTGTTCTCAGGCAGACAAACATCGAAGAAAAGGACCTGAATATAAGCCTGATAAATTGACTCGACTAGTTCACACAAATAAGAAGGGCCTGGGATGACCGTCCGGACCAAACATCCAGCCAGTCCCAGATACCGCAGCTTGAGAGTCATTGGAGACGGCTTGCGAAGAGTTCGATGGCCGAGAGCTTGAGGTGGATACACGTGATGCTCCTGTGGCACAAAAGTAGCTCGTGTTGAATCATGAAGAGTGACAGAACATGGGTGAACGGTGAGGACAGTGAAGTAGGAAGTAGAACAGTCGGTTGGGAGAGTCGGGCACGATGACAGAGACTGGTTTCATCCGTACATCTGGTGTCGTTTATCTAGTGCAGCACCACCAAATTGCATCTCAAAGGCGAATGAGCTGACTCGTTTGAACAAAGAACTCCTGCAGTGTACACACCACTTGTTCATTCTGCAGAATGTAGGTCAATGATGTGATCCAATAATCTAAGGTGACACAAGAGAAGCCCTTCGTAGTAGGGGTGAATAGACCAGAAAACAAACCTACAAAATGTCCCTGTCTGGATCTTTTGATCCATCGGTCCATCCCCTCTACATAAGGCAATCATGCTTTGGGATGTTCTTGGGGCAATCCGAGATGAGAAGCACCACCATCAGCCGCTCGCATCATGTGATGGCTGGATACTAAAGTCTGGCCTACCAGTCCACCGGTGTATGTGCTCAATCCTCCCAGATTTGCCAGGTCCATCACTTCCCAAATTGATTCACAAAAAATAAAAGTCCTACCACTCATTGGGAGGACGGTCCTTAATGGCACCTGGAACAACCGACTGGCGCCCCCGGCCCCCTGGTCCTGGCTCCAAATGGGTCTGGTCTGAAGGCGGCATGTGTCGTGACAATACGATGCCCCCCGAGCCCAGCGGCCCAGCGTGCTACGCACGCCGTGGAGTGGCGTGGAGTATCGTTGGAGTGGCCAAGATCAGGACAACCTATCAGAAGGGATTAGACAGGTTTGGACTACCAGATGTGTTTCAGCCGTTTTCTCTGCTGGTCTTTCCTGGATCTGCTCAGACTTGGGATCTTTCTGCTTCAGCCACTTGGGAGCAAATGCTGCGCCGTGCCGGGCGGCTTCGTCTGGACCGGGCCTGTCATCAGATCGCTGAAACTGGACTCTCCCGTGATCACAGATCGTTGAGATTCGTTGGTCCCCACAGACTACGTCTGTAATCTCTTTAGTCTGTGAGACTTCCCTAAAAGGCTTTGCTGAGTTTTGCTAGGTCCATGCCCTTAAACACTCACACACGCCAGTCAGACCCCGTCCTTTGAAAGAAAAATTAACCGAAAGTCCGACAGCCTTCTTAGTGACCCAGGAAGCACCATGGAGTGACATATCCCTGGTGTCTCACTCAGACCCTGGCCACGAGATCATCACCATCAGCGCTGAGACTATTTTTCCTCGAAAGGAGTGGCGCTGAAGATTGTTTGGACTATGTTTGCATCTTAGAATCAAGTTTCCTGCTAATTCCTATGTCTGGACTGTGGCCAATAGATCACACATTGACCAGTTACAGTTGTTAAGCTTCTTTTGTAAGACGACTTACAAATGCTTGGCATTCATGCGTTCTTTTTTTCGGGACACCCAGCGGATTTCCAGAAACATGTTTCACTCGAGAAGACTGGTGAGACTGGTCAGTCTCAGTGTTTGGTCCCTCACCTCGCTAAGATCTGGCAAATCTCCAGCTTCTCCTCCTCCGTTGGCAAGCCTGGAACCGGCTCCAAGCTGACAGCCGGGAACCGGTGCCCGCTGTCTGAGACGACAGGCTGAAAATCAAAAGAAAATGCGCATGTGGTTGCGCCAGCTGGAACGAGGTGGACTAAAAAAATCAAGCAAATATCTATGTTATGTCCAGCACATTGAGTTGGTGATGTTTGTCTGCTCATCAGTAGTTGATCCTCGCAAGGAGTTCGTCTCACTTTGACATAGAAACAGACGAGGCATCAGTCTAGAAGCTAATCCAACATCAACGAAACAGGAACCAGAGATGTCTTTCCAGTTCACCTGGACCTCTTCTTTCTCACCTGGACCTCTTCTTTGGCATCTCAGCTTCGGACCACAGTAGCAGATCTTGTCGAAGCGCCCAGGTCTCATCAAGGCGGGATCCACCATGTCGGGTCGCCCCGTGGCGGCGACCACGAAGACACGGCCACGGTCTTCCACCTCAGTGACCGGTGGGGTCAGACAGGAACCGCGGAACCGTCTCCGCGGAACCGCCGTGCCGGGAAGTGGTGTGGCCTCTTCTTTGATCATGCTTGCAGACGTTGTCAAACACCACAGGTGGCAGTGGCACAGGATGGGAAGAAGCATGTCTGACAGCATGGGATTTGTTCGAGGATCTCCATCTTGAAAGTGGAGATCTTTGTGACAGCAACCTGGAAACAAGCGCCAAAAATGCCAGATTTAAAGCGTATCAAAAAAAAAATACAAGACTGGTGTTCCATTCAGTTCGGGTAAGTCGGGTAAGTTTGCGTCCTCGAGCCCTGGTAGCTTACAATAGAACCATTGCACGTTGTATGCACTGTGATCGCTAGTAATTATATAAGTAATTGATTAATTGATATTAATTGCAGAAATTCCACGCACTCACGCTATATAATCCAACGAGACGCACAGCTCTTCTTCGGTTTTGACCCATCCTGTACCCGTTTTTCAATGAAAGCAGAATCCCACGAGTGCCGACCAATCCACACCTCACTGTGCACCCAAGAGACGCCATCCAGGTAGCAAAGCATCTGGTTCACCACGCGGTCCGTCACGCCGGTGGAATCAGCTGGAACGACCGGTGCATTCTCCGGCGGGTGAATTCGCCACGCAGGGCGAGGGGACAAGTAGCGATGGCCTCCACCTAGTAGCTTCTTGCTACTAGTAGCGATGGC